TCCTGCTGTCCACCAGGACTCCCAGGTCCCTGTGGGCCTTAATTAAAATTTGCCCAGATCTTGCAAGGTTCCCAAGTCTGTTGCTTCTATAGAATTCTCTTGGGAACTTCCATATTTTAGTTTGGTTTTCTAAAATGTGGAGCAAATCATCCCAGCATGATAGAGCCTACTGCCATGTGCTCGTTCTAGTTCTAGGTCTTGGGAGTTGGGTAGCACTTGGGCAGCTTGAGGGAGCTGAAGGTAAAGCCCTGCAGCTCCTCTTCAGTCATGGATGTTGCAGAACCACAGTCAAAGCTGTGTAAACTTGTTCTGCACTGTCCAATTTCAGCCTCATATAGTAGCTTATGTGTGGCCTCAGAATACAGTTATTTATTCAAGAAAGAAATGGAATGTAGATTTTCTGAAGGTAATACTGAAAATAAGAAAAAAAATTTCTTTCTTCTATTTTCTCTTGCAGTCCTTAATCAAGGAAGAATGCACAAAATTTTCCATGCCTTATGCACCAAACTTCATATTCTTAACAAACTCCCTACTAAAGCTGACAAGTAATGAACAGAACATTTAACCAAGATAACTCCTAAGCTTTCAAAGCTTTGAATTGAATGTTTTTTTAACAGGGTGACTTGAAAACTTTCACTTGTAAATTTTATAGGAGTTGTTATTCATTCACACTGGAGCATTTTATAATGTTTAAGTATAGCTGAGTAAAAGGAACATTACCTTAAGGTACAGTTCAGTAATAAATGTATTTATTTCTGCATTATTTGTGTAACTGGTTTCTACTTTCCTTTTGCAAACTTACTGAAATGTGCTTAAAGTTATTAAGGGTTCTCTGTGTGATCTATCTGTATAAATGCAGGTGAGATATAAATACTTAAGTTTGCACTGAGACTATAAAGGATGATGAAATTTCATGTGAAATTTTACTTTAGTTTTACTTTAGAAAACTTTCTGTCATATCAGCAGTTTAATTACAACTTGTATAAAACTTCTGGTAGTTTCTGAATGAGAACTTCTGGGAGTTTCTGAATTCTAATAATATACATTTTTTTTGAGACATCCAACTGCTACTACAGTTTATAGCGAGTTTCACGTTGACCTATTGTAATGAAATCCTCTTCATTTGCATTAACAACTGTCACCCCTGCACAGTTTTTATTCTTCAGAATACCTTCTGATGTAGACAAAGCATCATCTCAAAACTCGTGCTAAACTAACGAATCCTGGCATTTTGAAGATCCTTTTTAATTTTCAAAAAAACACAGAAAATGCAGAGCTTTCTTTTTGTGTCTCCCATCTAACTTCTGTTGCTTTAACTCACAGGCTGGTCTTCCTCCCTAACCCCTTTGTTAACAAGCGGTGGTCCTGTCCCCCTGGGTGGCAGGCCCACCCTTCTTCACCAAGCTGCTGCCCAGGGAAATGTCACTTTATTATCAATGCTGCTTAATGAAGAAGAACTGGACATTAATTACTCTTGTGAAGATGGCTATTCTGCCTTGTATTCTGCTGCTACGAATGGACATACAGGTTAGTGATGCTAAGTTCTGTTATGACAGTCAGTGAAATAGTGAAAGCTTATTTCATAAGTTGTAAATATTTAATTGGATCAAATGCATGTTTTTTAAAAAATATGAAATTGCAACTGAGATATAGATTACATGACAAAAGTAATAGTGTAGCATATATATAAGCAATACTTCTGGAGGCAGAATTCTGGAGCACAGAAAGCGTTCTTCCTTGTGGTTACATTCCGCATGAATACCCATTCTCATTCTCCACTCCCTTCCTATAAGAAGCCATCAGATATCATCACCCCATGTTCTGTGACTAACTAAAGATCTGTTGTACCAAAGGCAACTTGAAAGAAAGAACTTTCCTCTACAGGGAGTAAGCAGGAAAGAATAGGTCATCATCGGTGTTTTCATCTTCTGCAGCAGCAGTGAAAATGATGGAAGATTATTTCAGAGTAGTGTGTTACTTGGGAAATAAAATGAACTGTCTTTATTTTTGAACTACATGAAAAAAATAGTTTGTTCTCTAGGATCTACTGAGATGTTTTAAGATTTTTCTTCTTCTTTTCCCTCACGATCTCGACCCTCAGTCTCAAGGAGGTAGCATCTCTGAACTTTCAACAGTCAGTCTTCATACTTTATGAATAAATTCCTGAAATGAGGCAGATATGTTAGCAACAGATATGAATTTCATGGATACAAACTCCAAGCAATAATTTTCAGTCTCTTAAAACAAGGCTCTCAAACAGCAGCTTTCTTAAAAATGCCAGTACATGTTACTATAGTTTTTTCTACTGATATGAAAATCTCCTAGATTTATATTGCAAATAATATCATTATGCTGCTTTGGACAGTAAAGATGAAATCCAGCAATACCAATGACAAAAATTCCATTAGTTTTAGTAAAGTCAAGACTTTATTTCATAGTAAAAGGTGGAACATAGGGCCTTTAAAGCCACTGCTTTCAAGAGTGCTTTGAGGTTTTGTTTAACAATTTATTTGTTAGTGGCTGTCTCCATTTGGGCAGTTGTTCTATCACCTGATGATCCCTCCCCACCTGAGGGAAAGGAAAGGAGACCCATGGGTTGAAATGGAAACATATCTAATATAATAATACTAAGAAACTAATATTAATGCCAATATTAGTATAAAATACACAGAGTTACAGTCAGCCCATGTAGTAGTTGTGAGCTGTGCACAGTGAAGTCTGGATGACAAATACTGTGAGCACCGCAGCTCCAAGAAAAGCGCAAACAGGGCCTTGGGAGCAGAACAGTGTGAGAGACCCTCCAGGGATGGTGACCACTGAGGAAAGAGGGGCATCCCCAACAAACTCACTAACTTATAGTGAGCATGACATTTATGGTGTGAAATACTTCTGTCGGCCAGCTTGGGCCAGCTGCCCTGGCTTTCGCTCCTCCTGGTTTCTGTACCTGGCCAACTCAAAACTGCTAAAGACCTTGATCCACCATGGTGACCTGCATACCAGTGCTGGCCAAAAACTAAAACAAGGTGTCTTATCAACTTTATTCTCACCAAATCAAGTCCTGTATTCTTCTAAAAAATGCAGCTTTCCTGAATAGAAAATTCATCCTATGATTCTACTCCAGCGAAACCAAGACAATGACACAATTAGAAAACCTTGATCCAGTGTTCAAAATAGTGTTTAGAGAGACTATTCTGTTATTTTTCTGAAGTATTTTAAAAATCAAAGTAAAGTTAGGATCCAAAACTCATAGCTAGGCAGATAGTGTAGATTTTTTTTGACAAGTTAAGGGCTAATTTTGCTATCGGGCACAGAGATAGGAGGAATTTTCCCTTTGTTGGGAATGGTATATTTTGTCTATGATTAGCACCTAGGGTTTACTTTTCAGCAGACAGATACTTAGCTGTTGCCAAGACCCTTAAAATATTGCAGAAGTCCTTTATTTTTTTTTCTTCCTGTGACACTGGTTTTTTTGCAACTTTTTATTTTCAATATTAAGAGTCCAAATTTATTATATTGTGTGGATTTCTGCCTCCCCCCCTTCCCCTGCACTGAATGGATGTTCTGTGCATTATTCTAGTCTTACAGCAATTTATCATTGCTGGTGTCTGTGGGAGACCATTAATTGACCACACTCTTCTTTCCTCATCACGTATTCCTTACACATTTCCAAGCAAATGCCTTCATTTTCAGTTACATTAACTGAGCAGCCCTTACTGACAGCAAAGACAATTTGGCTTCTTATTTTATCGTCAAAACTTCAAATAAGAGAGGTGCTTGAGTGAAGTATGAAAACACAAAAATAAAAACAAAGACATGTATGTGCATGCTGTAATTCTTTAGTGTCTTTTACTTTCTAAGATGAAAAGTCTCTTATGACAGTTTTAGTGTTGCACTCCCATTTGTAGTTGGCAGGATGTGAAAACCACTTTGTACTGCAAATCCTTGCAATTTAGTGACTAAATGGACTTTTTTGAATTCTGAATGAAAGAATCACACAGCAGCAGTGTTGATGTCTCCTTAATAATTTATATGATAATTTAAAGTAGTAGATTTTTACTATTTTTGGCGAAAGGGTTTTTGTGCTTAACTTTAATATATAATCCTTTCTTTGTTACTTGCAGTTTGTCCCCAAAATATATCCGCTTAAGAAAAGAAGTATAGGAATAAATCTGTTATTTTACAAAACCCTTTTTAGTAGTTTCTTTGAGCTAACCAGGTAGAAAGAAATGACACTGAAGTAATTTTGAGAGGGATAAAATAAATTATTGTACAGATTTTTTTCATTGTGTTGAATAGGATTGTCAATGGTAGGTTACTGTCTTTTGGCTGTTTTGTTGAGGTGTTTTTTTTTTTCCATAGAATCATTTAGGTTGGATCATTGAGTCCAACCATAAGACTTAGCACATAAACTTACTCTGGAGGATGATTGCACCGTGATTTAATTTATTAAGAATACCTTAAACCTGGAGTTAGTGACTAAATAACTAAATAGATTCAAAGATTTCCAGGACCCCTTGTTTCTTCTAAGTCAGCTAACCAGGTTTTCTGATTTCTTCTGGGAAATGGCTGACCAGAAGAAAAGAATAGCTCTAGGCCTGTTAAGAGCCAGCATAGTGAGCAACTGCCTTCAGAAACAAACACCATGTTGCAGAGGTTCTGGGAAGGGTGAAAAGTGAATGATCTCCACACGTTTTCAGTGAAGAAATACAGTATTTGAGCATGTAGACAACTAGAGAAAGGTAGAGCACATTGTAACCTGCATGGTGAGGGCAGCAGTTGTGTACTCTCAGCCCGGTTTGTAGAGAAAATTAAGTTACGCGAGAGAACACTCAAGTATTCTTTCCTAATCTGTGCTGTTCGCAAAATAAGTAGCCTTCCTGTTCATAAACAGTTGCCTTTCGAGAGCTGCAGCTGAGGGTTTTTCAGCACATGAAGCTCGTAGCAACTGCTCTGCTTCCTGCACACACTGTCCACAATTCAATTCTGTAATTCTGTAGATCTGAAAGAGAGAACTTCACTCTAAAAATGCACACTAAATACTTTCTTTGTATTTGAACGGACACAAGGAAACTGTTGTTTTTATGATTTAATCACTAGAACGGGATAGCTGGACAGATTGTTTTGTCAGGCTGCCTTGGTTTGATCCATTAACAAAGCAGGAGCCACTTCAGTCTATTATGTGCTTGATAACATGTACAGAAGTTCACTTAGCTGATATATCTATATTGTGTTGCCAATCCTGGTCATTCTCTGCCACACACGAGGCAACTGGGAGAGTATGAAATAATCAGAGATCCTGAAACTGAGAGATGTGAAGAGAATAATAATAATATCCTTTGGACTCAGCTATGTGCTAATCATATGTATTTATGGTATAATTGATTCTCTTCTATCCTGAGTATATGGAGGCTGTGACACCCTGATTGATAGGAAAAACAGGAGTGATGTGGGAAGTATAAAGGAGTGAAGTGCAGAGACATACAGCTACATGGAGTCAGCTCTGACAAGCCACTGGATGTATCTGCATGGTGTTTGCCAGCACTCTGGAAGAACTAACTACCCAGCTGTGGTGGAGAGCAGTAAAGTCTCCAGGTGTTTGTGCTAATAAGCTTCCATGTTTTGCTTTTGCTTTGACCAAAACCTTTAACTGAATGATAACATCGATGTCTGTCTTGTGCCTGCCATTCCACTCAGTCCTCTCCACTGCTGATCACCTCTGTGGCAGACAGCAGTGAACTGGAGTTCATGAGCTTGGACTGACCCAAATTACCCTTCTTCAAATCCCAATCCAAAGCCCATCCAGAGGATCCAGCCTTCTTGGAGGTTATTTCACTTGACATGCCACCAGAACGGGTCATGTAGAGCTTACTAGCTCATATGGCATGCGTTATAAAAGTAGCTGTGGTTCCTCATGTTTGCACATAGCACTGAGAATAAACAGCTCTTTTCAGGGGTCTTCATCAGAAACAGCATTTTCACACAGATAAGCTACCACCTGAATGATCTGCCAATCAATAACTGTGGGTTAACCATACCTTTCTAGAAAGGTCGTCTTGTTCTGTCCATTCTTCATGGCTTTTGCATGACTAACATGGGCTTTATGAAGGAACCAAGGAGTGTTCTAGCCAGATACTTGAAACTGATAGGAGAATTTTTTTCCAACATCCTTCATAAAATTAAAGGATATCAAGCAGGAATCTGTATTTTCAAGTTAGTTGTTTAATATAAAACAGGGATTGACAACAGAAAGAGGAAAAAATCATGTTGTTGTTAGCAGAGTATTGTTTCTGTTACAAAGTGATTGAAAGTATAATTAGATTTTAATTGGTATTATCTTGCAAGTGAAATTAGTAGGTAAGTTAGGTAACTGAGAGCTTCTTTATGACTTAAAAAAAACTATTACAGATGAAGTCCTGGTAGCTTATCCTGAAAACCAACATTTTTTTTTAAAAAAAGCAATTTCAGATCAGAATACTCATTTAAGAATCTACGAATCTGTTTTAAAATCTTATTTCTTCATGTTAAATTATTTATTCAATCAACTCCACAATGTCTGTGTTAATATTTGAGAGAGTTGTAACAGAAGTAAATAAGTTCCAGAATGGTTTAGATTACTCAGATTTCTGATATCTAGAGATAAGTTTCACTAGTAAAGCTTGGCCCAGGATGTTACCCAGTGCTGAAACAGAGTTCACTGAGAAATCAGGTCAGGAGTTTCTAATTGGTGTTTTGGCTGAGCTTATTTTCAAAGTAGTAGTTTCAGCTACAAAAAAAACTTGGTTTCTTTTGGTCTAAAACCAATTTCGAGAATATAGAGCAGATTAAGTATTTTCTTCAAACTAAATTGCATCAAATGATATTCCAATTTGTGGATGAAAAGCAGTCTAATTACTATGTAATTGATTATCCTAATTTAGCTGTAGGATGGTGGAATCAGGCTAGTACTATTTTTAGCATGTTGTTTTGGAAATATATGAATGAGAATGGTTTGGGGAGGTTTGAGCCTGTCAATTTATCTTATTTGTTACTGCAATCTGCCATCAAAGTGTCCTGAATCGAAACCAGCCAGCGTGTTGTTTGACTTGTGTCGCTTGAGAGCGTCTCCCCTGTGGCTGTCGTATTTGGGATGTGTCGCATGACTCCCCATGTGGGACCGTGCTGCCTTTAGGGGCTGCCGGATAATTCAGACTCCGCACTTTGGAGGTGAATTAACTAACGCTGTGGGAGTTGCCATCAATGGGCACAGTATTTGGATCCCAGTAACGCCCAACCTAAGTCCTTTTCAGGAAAGAGTGATGGTGCCCCCAGGGAGTCAATTCTCACCCCTGTCCTGGGAACCACTTCCTGAGCTGCTGCTTCACTTTGTGTGTGTTATATAGCCAAAAAGAATGGCTGCTGTTGCCACTTGAGTAAGTATTGACCTTTGGTATTTTTAACCACTTATTCTTGTTGCATCACTCTATGTTTATGCTCAATTTATAGATTGTGTGAGATTGCTGCTGACTGCAGAAGCACAAGTTGATGCTGCTGATAAAAATGGCTTTACACCCTTGTGTTCAGCAGTTGCTCAGGGACATGTCAAGTAAGTGAAGTCTTAAGATTTTGCATGTCAGCTATTACTGAATTTTATATTCTCTTTACGTTATTTAATATATGTGTCATTACATTACTGTTGCATTCTTAGGAATAAATGCATTTAACTATTATTTGTTGAAAGCACCTACTGAAACTCATGTTCATATGCCATTCTGGTTTTAATATTTTCCATTAATTTTGTTTCCAGTTGCAGCTCTTAAGATTGCTGAAGGTGTATTCTTAGTAACCACAATGTGATACTGGTCTACAGAGCATCAAACCCTTGAATTTCTTAATTTTCTTCGAGTTATCAGCCACAATACAGGATTAACAGAGGAAGGAGGAAAGAAATTCTTTTTGCACTGATTTTTTAAAGCATAGACAATTATGAATATCATATTCAGAGACAAAAGAACATGTATCTGAATATTCTCCTGGGTGATACAGAATCAATACTTAAAACAACAAAACAGGCTTTTTTAAGGTTTAAGGGTTTTTTTGTATCAGTACCTTTAACTTTGAAAAACAGAAAACTATGTATGAGTCAAAAATAAGAAATGTAGTTACAATAATTTTCTTTTATTCTTTTAAGCTTCTAATTTTATAAAGATTGGTGTTTTATGACAGCATGATTGGAAAATCCTGTCTGCTTTTTATACTGAGAAACAGTACATAACAATTCACCCGGATGATTTTTTTTTCCCCCTTTTCCTCCCTTCATTTGAGGAGCTGAAGGCTTATGTTGCATTTCCACTGTGCAGTGTTACTGTGTCTCATAGAATCGTAGGAAATAGAACTGGAAGTTGGAAGCAACCATTAGATAACCTTTTCCGGAGCATCCTTATCCAGATAAAACTATTTTACATTTATTGATGCATCTTTGGTTTTGCTTATTTTTCAGGTTTTAATTCTTTTAATATTGTATTTTACTATTTTTAAAGATTTTACCTGATATAGTAACATATAGGGATCAGAGCCCCTTTGAGTGTTATTATACTGTGATAGGCTCTGGGCCTACCATGAGGAAGAGTGGGATCCCTGTCCTCACAGTCTTTCGTGAGTATATAGGGATTGTCAGAGATTCTTGTCACCTCTTGGAGGACTTCAAGCTTATCAAGTAATGGGCATCTTTTACTGGAAGTCTTAATTCAGAGGTAGCAGATTCCCAGTAGGTGTTTTGAGCACAGGAATAAATATCTAGTTGAGTGTTTCAGTGTTTTACATAAAATCTGTAAAAATTACATGTGACTTGATGAGACGAACCAAACACTCTTCATATTCTCTCACTAAAATAAAGATCTTAGACTTTTTAAGTAGGAAGCTATTTATTTCTCTGACTTACCCTCACAACACTTTGCTGTATATAATCTGTTGTGTTATGATAATTGCACACTTCATATGCTTTTTCCCTTAGAGTTACTTGTGTAACTGTAGCATGAAATCCCTAAACACTTTAGGGGTTTTCACTTCACTTTTTTTGAATACTAAACATGAACCGAATTTTAAAAGTGAGTGGAGTAATAACAGGGCCAGTCAGAAATATCAGAGACTGTGAATGCTTCAGGCTGTTTGATTTGTTGATCATTTCAAAGTTCTGGCTCAGAAAAAAAAAATGTAATAGGCAGAATTTGGGGCAAGCTTTGTGTTGTGTAGTCCATGTTACTTATGCTACAGCACTAAGAATCTGGCATTAATGGCAGCACTAAACTACCAAGAATTCCACAGTACTTGTCTGTGACAGATTTGCTAGCCAGTCCCCTGTGACACATCTGTTAACCTTATTCCTGGACTGGCACAATGCCCTTGTTCCAGTTCCAGAAAGACATGACAGTGGTTTAGGACTCTTCATAATGTCACCAATTCAGAAAGTGCTTTTAGGAGAGACTGTCAAAATAATTCCACATATGGTCTAGGCCAGGCTGACCTTACCTGCCCTTGAGATGGAAAGTGAGTGTAGCATTTCCAGAATCATTGAATGCAACGCAAAATAGCACAGTGGTTATTTTTAACATAGCAGACTTGAAACTCCATCTGTAGTTGCTTTATGCAGGTGTCTTGTTATGAGCCTATTTTAACATGACTTTTGTGACTATGATTAGGATACATGCTCAGTGTTTGATAAGGTAGAGCATTACTTTTATTTCTATTTTTTCTGTTCTTTTAAGCATTTTCAGAAAGTGCAGCAAATTCATTCATATTAATTGTGTGTGATTTATTATTTTCTAAAATTGGTCATTTTATCTTGAAATGGATTAAGTAAGAACCTTTTTTTAATACTTGGGATTTTTTTATCTCTAATTTCTTCTATGTTTATATTCTGATATGGTTTAAAATATTTTTTCATCCTGTTTGTTATAGTATGGTCTCCTAACCAGTAGTTGTATGGCATTGCATTAGTTGCTTTGAGGCTTCATTGTTCATATTCTTATATTTTTATGGACTAATAGATACTGAGCCAGAGAGATGGGGATTTATCTTAGTTTAAAGCCCTTCTTTGAACTGCAGAGGGAATAGACTACAATTAAGATTCCTCTCAAGTCTTAAGAGTTGCTGAAAAACTCTTTGGAAGGGAAAGGGAGCCAACTCTGGCACAAGAATTGAGAAGAAAACTTGACCTACTGCTACAGGACTGTGAGGAAGCACAGGATCTTGGATCCGAACACCAGTCCCTAGGGGTTGCTCTCCAGCACTCCACCTGATCTTCTGTCCTCCCTAATCTGGCAGTTGCTACCAGCACACCCCAAGCCATCGTTCTGGAGTAGCCTCCATTCAGGGATCTGAATGGTTGGTAATGCCATGACTGGTTTGCTGTCCAAAACAATTTTCTTCCCTAGGCAAGAGTCCCTTTTGCTGGTATCTAAAGCAAGTCCTAGTCCTTATTTTCCTTTTACTTTTCTTTTGAAACTATTTTAAGTATCAGTAGTCAGAACAGAAATGTTACTTTTTTTGCTCAGCTGAAGGCTTTTCTTAAGCAGCTGTCATCAAGTTTGTATTAGTCTTGTGAAATTAAATGTTTTACATTCAGTTTTTAAGTGCAGCTACAGTAGTTTAAGATTTATGGCTTCAAAGTAACCTGATTTTCTGTCTTTATATCTATGTGTAAAATTATAGCTTATACTTGTGTATATGTGATGGATAAAATTGTAGGAAGATCTGAATCTGTAAAAATCAGTACTTTTATAAAAATATTTAAATGTAGTAAGTTATAAAGAGGTTTGGGATGTCAGATATAAGATAATTTTACTACCTTATTGTTTGTTGTAGGTGTGCAGAATTATTAATTATGTATCAGGCTGATATTAACCATGCTGCTGAAAAAGGACAGACACCTTTGTTCCTGGCCTGTAAAAATGGAAATAACGATTGTATTAAGCTATTGTTGAAAGGTGGAGCAGATCGAACAGTAAAAACCAGTGTAAGTTAAAATAGTTTGTGAAGGTCAAGTATCTTGCATGGTACCGAATAACTGCAAACAGCTGGGAAATATTTATATTAAAGTATTTATTTAAAGTTTTCTTTAAAGCTGGAATAAACATTGTAATTTGAAATTAATATTTTGTTCTTTTTATCATACTTTCTGGGGTTTTTTAAAGCTGTGTGTTGTCTAAAATCTAAACTATGCAACTTTCATATTTATATTGTGTATCTGTAGCAGTTTACGGCAGACTTTTCTTCAGCACTGGATCTGCAAAAAATTAACTTCTCTGGTTTGACTTGTTTTTAAGGTGGAGAAGTGGACATAGGGATTTTGCTTCCACCTTTTACGTTAGGGTGCTTTATTGTTGTCCTTGAGGGGACCCGCACCCCCAAATTTGCCAGCCAGTATTGTAAAGTCTCTCATACCACAAATGAAAGAATACGGCAAAAAAAAAAGGTAGAAAGGTAGGAGGACTGTCTCAAAATTAACATCTAGGTATTGCCCTTTTCAGGTGTTTCCCTGAAGATTTTCTTAAGACTTTGATGTAAAGATGACAGAAACGCAGCACAAAGAGTATTAGCTTCACAGTACACTCTGCTCCTATATTACACTGATTTAATTTTTTTTGTTAATTTCTTTTGGAAAGTAAATATATTTGATTTTAAATGAGAGACAGTTATGATGTCAAAACTATTAAAATATTGGACTGATTGATAAATTGGTTAATGCAAAATGAAACAAATTCTTGATTGTTAGAATTGTGTTGGTTTGATACATGATAAGGAAATAATCTATTAACAGCATGTGAGTCCTGTATTAGACTCTTCTAAAAGCTTTGAAGTCTTTGTTGGACTGTCCTTGAAGAAAACTGTAAAATTTTCTTTCTGCTACATTTTCTTCCCTCTATTTCTTCCACTACGAACACGTACAAGCAACTCTGCTTTCCCAAAGGATTATTGTGTCACTCTTGCTTATTTTCTTCATTTTCAATCTTCCATTCAGATTCATTGCTGATATAAGTTCTGGAAGCATTTTTTGATGTGTTTGGTGGGAGTTTGCTCTTTGCTTTTGTTTGTTTTTTAGGATGGCTGGTCACCAATTCACGCAGCAGTGGATTCTGGTAATGTTGACAGTCTCAAGCTCCTTATGTACTATGGAGAGCCAAGCAATGGGAACTCTTTCACTGATGCAGAGCCTAATTTAGACTACTTTGATTTGGAGAAGAGAGAAGACAACTATAGCGGTAGAGTAAAGCCTGTTATTTCTGCAGATCTCATCAACCATGCTGACAAAGAGGGTTGGACGGCTGCCCACATTGCAGCATCAAAAGGCTTTAAGGTCAGTCTATGTGAACAAGATACAGTAACCCGAGAGAATTTAGGCAATATGCATCCTTTCTTGTCTTTGAAGAACTAAAACTTAGATGTCAAATCTAAGTTTGTTATCTGGTTTATTGTCACATGTGATTTAACAGATACAGAGAGATACTCTTAGTGGATAATTTATCCCAGAAGCTAGGTGTCTAGTGGGGGGAATTGTCATATTTAAGTGCCTATTTATTCTGGGACAACAGTAAAAAGAGAAAACATGATTACTTGAGATTCAGATTTTCAAAGTTAAGGTGAGGTGAATCCCACTCTAAATGCCACTTCATTGTGTGTCATATAATATAGATATTAGATGGACATAGTTTTCCGTTACAGTTAGGAATCATTTAACTATGAACAATTTTTTCTATAGATTGGAGGGGAGGAAAAGAAATCTGAGAACCATATTTGTCCAGTAATACATCATTTAATTTGTTATTTTGGGCAGTCTTTTTAGCAGGCAGTGAGTAAGTTTTTTGGGAGTTGGCATAACTGATGACATAGAGAATGACCTGATGATGATAAACAGGAAGATGTCTGGAAATTGAATATTACTTGAAGGATTTGACATCAGATGCTTTACGCTTCTAACACTGATTGTTTAAAGTTTGGTTTTGTTGTTTGTTGGTTGGGTTTTTTTTTTATGACAGCTGTCAGACAGACTTTACTGTAAAACTTTTACCCAGAGAGAAAATAGAGGATACTGAACACACAAGAGTGGATTTTAGGAAAATATTGTCCAAGACTTTGAAAATTAGCTTGTGACTACATGCCTAGTTCCATATCATTATGTTTGCTTTTTTTCCCTGATAAATAAATTTACTATGCTAAATCAAAATCAGCACAGATTTAGGATTCAGGTTTTTAAATAATGTTTTATTTGGGGATCAGGCACTGCGTACTTAGCATTTTGCATTACGAACAAAGTCAATATTCCATTACCAGTGTCTGTTAGGCAGGTACAGACTTATTTCAGTTTCCACTCATCTCAATTTAGATGGAGTTTAAGGTATTTGTTATAGTCTGCAAATACCTAAATAATGTGCAGTATGTTGCTTCTTTCTGCAATAATTCAATCCACAGCAACGTGGAATCTAGCTTTTATTTACTGTCTAAAGGGGCTGTGGCCAGGTGTTGTCACTGAAGGCTCTGACACTGAAGTTTTCACGTGCACCTTTCATGAATACCTCATAGGTTTGAGCTTCTGAGCACATTTCAAGTCAGCTGTTTAATAACCTCTCCAGTGAGGGCTGAGGGTATTCTCTCAGGTGATGAAGGCGGATGTGCAGCTGGCTGGCCAACAGAATTTAATTTTACCAAGGAAATAAGCCTTATTTCTTTGTTTCCTCCCACTTGTTTCCTACTGTCAGCCTCACAGTTCAGTCCTCTGCCTTCTGCTGTCTTTACCATTCATTGCACCCATCTGAAAGACAGAGTTAACTTACTAACCTGACAAGAAAATATGCCTTTTTTTCTGGTTAATTTTCTCCTGGCAAAGTTAGGAGGTAATTGATTTTTAAAAGGTTCTTACAAATGCTGGTACCACAGTCTGGTAAAACTTCGTCTCACAGAGAAATCTAGCTTGGATGATGGTTATGTTTATGGAAGGTGTCAGAGTATTGGATATAGTGATGAAAGTCTTTCTGTAAGAACAACTATAAAATAGGTAACAGTAGCCAAACCCGCAACAAGCCCCTGTTCTGAATCCAAATACTTAAGAGCTGCTTCTCTGTGTTTTCAAGGTTTGGTTTCTCTGCTATGACTAACCCCAGAGTTTATCAATATGGTATTAACTAGTGTCATTTCTGATGGTGTCTTTTTTTAATATGGATATTTGTCCTTGAAAGGCATATCTGAAGATGACAAAGCTTTCATGGAGGCCACTTGTATTGTTGCTGAATGGATGATCATTAGAAATCAGGACTTAATCAGGCTTCAGATCATTGATCAATCAATACTTGAATGTAGTTTTGTGAGGGCTCTTCCCTGCTAGTTTGGGAGGATATATATAATTAATCTTTTTTCCATGTTACAGTATGATTATACTTTTCCAAATTTATCTACTAGTAGCTTGTTTCTAATGAGTTGTAATGAGTTTTTGCTTCTGTTGAGCTTATGACTTTTATTTGAAGTCTTTGAATTTTAAGAGGGCATCATGTTGGAATCCACAAAATGTTTGTGCTCTGACTTTAATAGAAATGCATTTTTATTTCATTACGTTGTTACTTGCTTGCAGAAATTCAGGTTTACCAGCCAAAGAGGAGGCTTGCAGGGTGACTTTAAAGTTATTGTTTTTCTTTTGCTTTGTGAAAACCAGTTTTATGGATTACCATCTGCATAGATTCATTAATTAGTCTGTATTAAGCTTCAGAATTGCCTTTTTTTAGTGTTACTTGAACATTGAGGCTGAGATGTTCAAAACTGTGTCCAAAGTTGAGCTTCTGTTTCCTTAGGTGAATATCTAAAGTAGTGGCCAGATGTTAAGAATTTCTCAGTTCAACTGACCAGCACTTGATGCTTGGAGATGTAGAAGCATGGCTGCCTATGTTCTGCTTTTTCAAAATCTTGGTTTGAGACTTTCAAGTCTGCTATAAAATATTTTTACTCCTGTATTTCAGCTCTGTGAGGAACATCATTTGGATGCTCATATATAGAAACTGTACCTGACTATCTTTGGAAATATATGTGTAAGAATTTCAATTAGGAGTCTAACTGCATATTGGTAGAACTCTTTAATGCAGTAAATGGACCAGTAAATAATACAGTTCTTACCTTTGCAGAACTGTCTAGAAATCCTTTGTAGCCATGGTGGACTAGAGGCTGAGAGAAAAGATAAGTGTAATCGAACATTGCATGATGTTGCTACTGATGATTGCAAACATCTCCTAGAAAACTTAAGTAAGTAAATGCTATCAGTGCTATATAAAAATGTTTTTAGTAAAGAGCTTGTGGGACAAAAATGAGAAATATAAAAAAGGGTAGTTGTCATTTTTTTAGGCACCACAATATTACATTTTCTTAACCTAGCAAGTTTCTTTTTTCCAAATTCTGAAGAAGTGAAATTCTGCTGGAGGTTATTAACTGACTTATGCCTTTGTTATTAAGACACTTGAAAAGATGGTATATATTGTATATGTGTAAACATCCATATTCTCTTAAAATTTCTGAATTTAATAGTAGTAATTACTTTTTCCAAAGCTATTATCCTCTTCTTATTTTTGTTCTTTAAACTCTTGCAGAAAAGCCACTTAAAGGTGGATAGCTGTTAAATTTCCTTGGACTAATACAATCATTTAGTCATATCTGAATCATTTTATTTGTCATGAATCATTTTATTTGTTTATTGTTGAGGGAATTGATTGGTGTATTCTTCAAAAAAGTCTCCGAGACAACATCAAACAAGATTTTTTTTTTCCCCAACATCAGTAATTTCTGTCAGAAAATTGTTCTTCTGTTGGAACCTGTCATCTTCTTCCTTCTCTCTAAGTTTTCTCAAAATCCAGTAGAGCAGGCTGACCTGTGTATTTCTTGAGTTAGAACTTGGTCCATCCACTCACAAGTTCTGCATTTTCTGTTTCTCTGTATAGTCAGGAATGTTGTCTTTGTAGGTTTGTATGTTTTGTATTTATTAACTTTTTTGTGTTTGCATTGTGGGATGCAGGGCTGTCAAATTCACGGATTATCCACAAATTAGGGAAGCTTTCTGTTTTCTGCTTCTGATTTTGCCCTTCAGCTGTTACAATATCTGGGTTCTTCCCATTTTACTGTAGGTGCAGAGAGGAACACAACTCACTTTCTAATAGACACTCCTCTGTGGTCTTCTTTATCAGATTGAAGCCAGTTTCTGATGGCTGAATTTGTAGCCTGTTAAATTGATGCTCTTTTCATCAGTCCTAGTACCCTGTTTCTCTGGTCAGTTTTATCATGAATCCAACAGGTCAGAACCTTCGGACTCTTATCTTCCATTTGTTAAGGCTGTAGTTAACATCACTACAATCTTAATTAGCTTTCTTGTCCCCAAAATGTTTGATCTGTGGAAGCTTGGAAACACCATTGGTATCCCACTGGTACCCACTGACCACTGGTCATCTGGGTATATGCTTCAACAAGCCAGGACTGCGTTTTGGATGTGTCCGTGCCATCCTCTGCCTTCCTCACGGTCCAGTAAGATTTCCGCTGTAAGGAATTATGCATGCAGGAGAGGAGGATGTGCTCTGGCAGATCTGAGGGAGTGGGGGCCAGGACTGCCAGCCATGCCGTAGAGGTCACATGCACTGAAATTTAGGCATACACTATACCTCTGTCTTAGGGGCCTGTTTCCTTGTAGAGAGCCCTCTGTATTTCTTGTAGTCATTGCTCATTTCCCTGAGGTCCAGCCATCAGAAGGGCAAGCCTTTGATATGTTTCTCATATCCCACATATTCTCACAGTCCCACATCTGAAGGATGCCTTTGAGTAATCTTTTCCCTGTGGTAGGCTAGTGGGTTTCAATCAGCTTTTCTGCCATCAGAAAAGTTTCATTGGTTTGTATCAGCCAAAGATTTGGCTTCTGGACTTGAAAACAAAACTAAGATCATGTTGCGAGATTTCATAATAAGCTGATTTTTTTTTTGTGGTGTACTTATTTTTTAATTTTAGGGGTAATTTTTGAAAGGTATTGTTTTGGCATTAAATTTAGAAAATAGTTTCATTTTCACTTTCAGTCATCTAAATTATCTATGTTAATATCTATGTAAATTAACTACTGCATATGTTGAGTTGTATTCCATTTTTCAAAGAGCAAGATTTAAAACAACTTCATTAAATTAATTTTGTTTCTAGAATGTGAATGCAATTTCTTACTTTTTTTAATATTTTGTTAATTTATTCTATAGCAAATCAAATATACACTTTCAAGTGAATTTTCTGTCTTAGCTCTTAGCTTTTTCTTTAAAGACATTTGGCTCACCTAACTGTGTTTTCCACTTGTGCACTAGTGCCAGAAAATTCCTTTCTGCATTGATAATAAAAATTTGCACAACCACAATAAACTGAAACGTTAAGACACTACCTACCATCTGTCTGAATTTATAAGAAGTTAGTCTGTAAAGAGGAAGTAAAAGATTGAGTAAGTTTTGTCTTGCTTCCTGTTATTTAAGCATAATAATACAGGGTTTTTTTGTAACATAGATACCTTGATACTTGTTTTTCAGCACTGCTCTGATTTTCTCGTTATAGTCTGTGCTGCTCTTCAACATTTTGCTTTTCTGTAGCAGGAGTTATTTTGTTGCTTTCCTTTGCAATATTAGATATTAATTGTCTTTAACAATAGGATTTTTTTAAATTTAGTTTTACAGTTTTTCTCATTCTTGGTTTTCTGTTTTTCAACAGATGCTCTTAATGTACCTGTAAGGATTTCAGTCAGTGGCATTGAAGCAGCCCCTTGTGGTATAGAGGAATTTGATACAGAAAACACAATATGTGCTTTAAATATCCGCAAACAGACATCGTGGGATGATTTTTCAAAAGCAGTGAGTCAGGCAGTGACAAACCATTTCCAAGCAATCACTTCTGATGGGTGGAGGAGCTTGGAAGACCTGTCGTTTAATAGTGCTGCAGAATCCAACATTGGCCTCAATGCGAGCAGTATATCATCTGTCAAACTAGGTATCGATATTGGCATAATAAGAACAGCAAAAATTGGGAGTTTTCTTAAATTCGTGAAATCTTGTAGGTAACATGAAATTATCTTTAGACTTCTGGATCTTTTAATGCTTAAACTTGAAAGACCAATACTAGCTTTGAAACTTTGAACAGTCCTGGAGTGAAAGCATTCTTTACTCTTAGCTATGTGTATGGTACAATTCATTAAGCACTTTAATGTCATCTCAGGGACCATGAGACCCTATGTTAATTAGTCCTTTGCTCAATTTAGTACTCGGGAGGAGATATCTGTATTCCAGGTGAAGCAAAACAATTCAAAGCAAAGCCCACACCGTCTTTACAGTACATCCAGAAGGTACAGTAAATCCAGACTAAATCGTCAGCACAGGTAGTACAGAACTACTTCTGTTTTATGTAACTTCGCTTATCAAGGTAAAACAGAAAAAATTTTAAAATATGATAAATTGGCCAAAAGATGGTGGTAGTAGTAACACTTGCATAGGATTGTGAAAATTCATGTGCTTCACTTTAAATCCTCTTCTCCCTTCTACCTGCCCACCACCCCAAAAAAACCTATTCACATTAGACTAGGAAAATGATCTAATTTTACTTTATTTTATATGTGAAAGTAGGTTACTATTAAACTTGTGTCTCAGTTGACATAAAACATTCGTATCCTCAGTCATGTATCAAGTAATAGCATGATTTTGTAGATAGGACTGGTGTGTTCATCAGATTTGTCAGTGTACGCACACAATCTTTGTAACCAAGTGAATGTTCTTGAGCATAGGACACTTTATATAGATACAGGGAATATCTCTTTCTTTTATTTTTTATTTTTAACAGGAAACATTTCATGGTCAACAGGTCAGATTTTCTCCCAGCCACCATGGGACTTTTTGAAGAACAACAGAGCTGAGCACATCACCGTGTTTTTGTTTGGTAATTTTCAACTCATAATTTTCAGTTTTGAATGTTAAGACACTCCATATGGAATGTTGAGAATCATTTGCTACTAGTTTTGTTCTTCAGTATTGCCTGATACTTAGAAATGTCACATCCAATTATTAACTAGTTTTAAAAGGGTCTACAACAGGTAAAAAATATGCTGGCACACAAACCCCCACTACATTTCTCAGTTATATAGTAGTACCCATTTTACTTGTGTCGTGGATACACATGAATCTGTCCTACTAGATAAATGCCTTTCATTTTTTCACCATTTGAATTTGCATAGCCTGTAATGTTGTTGTTGTTGTTGTTGTTGTTGTTGTTAACATGAGGAATTTAGGAAGTTATTTGTATATCTCTTTTTAAAGGACCTCAAGAAGGCTGCCTAAATAGTGTGACTTATGCATCTATGATCCATCTTCAGACACTTCAGAATTACCTCCGCCTGGTAAATACTAAGTTAACTTCTCTCTGCATGCAGTTTATATTTGTTCCACCTTTTGAGGGGAAAGTAAATTAGAATAACATTCATGCAAGCAATTATTTGAGACTTGAATTTTATTATTAGCTCATATATATCTTTCCTGTAACTTTTACAGTTTATTTAATACCTCAAAATATAAGGATAATTGGATAATATGAGTTAAGTTCCATAGATCGTTTGTTTTAATATATCTAATCAAATCAGAGTTAGTTTAAAATCTTCATAATTTCTGCGGTGTCCTTGGATAGTGTTTTATGTCGTTAGAAGAACAATTATGTGCCATAGGATTCTGCTGTATTCAACAATACTGCACAGTTAAATGAGTGTATTCCCTTACCAATTTTTTAGAGATAAAGTAATCTTAGAGTTAAGGTAGATGAAATAATTTTTATTCTACCGTATTGATACATGATCCCATTTCAACTGGAAGTAAGGTCCTCAGTTTAAGTCCTTAAGTTAGCAGTGACTTAAACTACTTTTGGATGATTTTAACATTGTTCTGGGTTATCTATTTTAACTCAAAATCCAGAAAATATTTGTGACTCCTAAACTTATTCTCCTTACATTATTTTTTCAAGTTTTAATGATTATTATAATGACAAAATACCTTTTCATGTAGTTTAACAAATTAGGATATAAATTTATCAATGTATTTCCAAGATGTTTTATGCAACTATTGCCTATTTTGAAACTCATGTAGTAAGGATTATCAACTCCAGTCATGCAAAACAAAGAGGTTTGTCTGCAAGGTGCTGATTGTCTCATTTAGGAAAAAAAAATCCAAGTCTATGAACTTTGAAGAATAATTTATTGTCTGTCTGTAGGTGGAACAATACCGTAATGTCATTTTCCATGGTCCAGAAGGAAGTTTACAAGACTATATAGCCTATCAGATAGCGGCCTGCATGAAGGTATTAACACAAACAGATAAAGTAAAATGGTTCATAAATTAGTATTTTCACTGTTTCACCAAATCTGTGAATTTTCAACACAGCAAAAGCAAGTGGCTGCAGGATCCACATGTGAAATCATTAAAGTTGAAGTGGATGCTGGTTTCTCCAAGGAGCAGCTTGCAGAACTCTTCATCAGTAGTGGTA